GATACAACCTGCTGCCCCATGCAGCATATTCTCCAGATTTTGCCGCCTGCGACTATTTTCTGTTTCCAAAACTAAAGAAATGGTTGAGCGGTAAGAGATTTAAGTCGAATGTAGAAGTCATTACCGAAACAAACGCGTATTTTGAGAGCTTTGAGAAAGCCTATGATATGGGGGAATAAGAAAATTAGAAAAACGCTGGATTAAATCTATCGAGCTAAAAGGTGATTATGTAGAAAAATAAAATGTTTATTTGTCCTCGTATTATTAAAAAACTTAAAAGCTCTATATAAGAAATGAAAATTCGCTGTTGTAATGTGTTTTATCGGCTTTTTTCACATGAAATACATATTGTATTGGAAATAAGTGTTAATCGCAAACTATGCAAAAAAAACTTTCGTTACTTCTATCAACAGCTACCGACAATTGCGGTGGCTCCACGTCTCAAGTAAACCATTTTTTCTTTTTTTATCAACCTTGGTTGATGCTCTCTGTAGATAGCATAAGATGCTAATCCAGTGATATCAAACATTACCAGTGGTCAACGCAACGTTCGTCGTTTTACGATGTATTCACTCAACATTTTGTCCATCACGTCAACGCCAGCTTTGGTTTTATTATAGAATTTGACTATCTCTGGCATGGTGCGATTTGTATATTTTTGGCACATAAAAACAAATTTTTGCATCATGATTGTACGCAAAATTTCTTGATGGCTGCATGTTTTGGCAGAAACATTTTAATTATTCTGACTGTTGCAAAGAGTGCCATTCTCCAGAAGTTCAATGTCTTCATATTTATCATCAATTTCTTTATTTCCTATTGAAGGATAGGGCCTCAATAAAACACTTCCATCTGGTTCTGTGTTTCGCCAAAATCTTCAGCTCGTTCCATGTTTTTCCGCACTCCTCAGTTTTCTTTTGCAATGTTCTTCTCCATTTATTTTTAGAACGTTTCCTTTTACGACTGCCTTGAGAAATCTAAACAGAGCTTGTCGACAAATTTCAATGGCGTCCTTTCTTAATGTGTGACCACCGCCATCGCCATTTTCGTGATTTTATGTAATTGACCATTGGCAGCAATTTATATTTTTCGTGTAAGTCGGAGTTACTGATGACACATAGTCACCACATCCTGATCTAATTTCTTTAAGTTGATCAGTGAAGTTCCAATAAATGCCTCTTCGTTTGCCATCAATAGAGTTTTACAGAATACTCTCGATGACGACGCACTGTTACGCTGGTTGCGATATTATTTGAAACTTTACCATTACAAATCCTGAATGATATTTACTTGTCAGGCGTTCCTTTAAATCTGAGTGCTTCACATTTACTGCCGCGGTGTACGCTGTCAAATGCGGTGCTGTTGTCGATAAAAACAAGTTGGAATATGGACTACCATTCATTCAATAATTCGACGATAGTTCATAAGGTGTTTATTTGGTCGACGCATAAATGGATTGGACGGAATCCTGCTTGCTGTTTACTCAGCGACTGATCGAGTTTCAGTTTAATGCGGCTTCTCATGATTCCACGATAGTTTTTACAGAGCGAAAGATAACCTTTTTTTGGGAGAAAAAACAGGTCATCTTGTAACTTATAGTTTCGCCAGGTGGTCTAGAAACACTTTTAGAATTCCAGCCTGCATTCTGCCATACCTACCTGTATCCAATACCTTACCTAGCTCTGAAGATGTAAAAAAGTAATTGGCAACGACGTTTCTTTTAGATTTTGATTTCGCTTGTTGCATCACAAGCCCAAGAAATTTTGATGCTATATTTAGCCGGCTTGGAGGGTAGATATTGTACGGCCTCTGAATGGAAGTAACTGTTCGTCGACAGTGATGCAGTCATATGGTTTGTAGGCTTTTACCAAATTTCTATTTAACATTACAGAGATCCCGAATCGGCGCAACTTTTTTTGCTCACATACCATCTGCACGTCTACTTTCATCATCAAATCGAATAATTCTTAGCATCATCTTGAAGCGGTCGTGAGACATAGCTGTTTGTATGTAAGCGCATCAGCTTTCTACATATCTTCTACATTAGTTTTGTTATCTCTCTGTACTCCAGCAGCAATAAGAATGTAATAAGAAGGTGTAATTATAAATTAGAACTTCAAAAACAAACCACTTTTATTTAATTACCACAATAAAGTTGTATAGGGGAACATTTTTCATACATTATACATGATAGCACAATTGTATCTCTGTCGTCTCTTAACGTTGTTAAGTTTCCAAGTTGTACAAAAGTTAACTCGAAATAGTATCGAACTAAGACCAGAATAAACAAATTTTCGGTAACCTCTTTGGTATTATATAATCAACAAAAAAAGAATTGACATTGAAATATTTCCGTATCCAAAATAAATTGTTCTAATCTTTATATAGGTTTTCATAAACTCGTTGAAAGCAGCATCTAAAAGTCTCGCAACTCTGAGCAGAAAAAATATCGAAATTTTCATATTGTTGATGAAGGCGCACTTTCTTCTTTCTCATTTTGGGTTATTTCTTCGCAATCTCATCCTTCAAATGCAGGAACAGCGAATGTATCCCTAAATACGGATACATGCACCACCATACCGGCTGACTTTTGCGCTTTTGGTCACTTTGGACTCCTTTATATGGCTGCTATCTAATTCGTCAAACAACTCCAAATAATTGCCTTGCTGACTTTGATCAACTCTGAGCAAACGCTACAATCATTTTGAAAACAACTTTCTGGTGAACAAATGTTGACGTCAATGTTCAATCAACACCACAACTTCCTTAGATATGTTTGGAGAATTATCTATCTCTAGCTAATTCAACGTACGGTTTTCCAAAATAACTTTACACGTTTTCCGAAATAACCTTTTTATTTTAGCGACAAGAGCATGGTGCGTCACCAGTGTCTATATGGCTATGTCTGTAGTCTTAATATCAAGGGTCAACAGTTTCATTCGATGTACAGGTTTTTTAGTACATAATGAAAGATGTACATAATGTTTTAATAATAATGTCACCAAATTGTAGTGAAATTTTAAGTGCTTATGTTTGATTTGAAATTTTTTGTTTTGGAATAAGAGCTGTTTTCAATGCGCTAGAAACCATTCACTTCTTAATTAAATATTTTCCTTGCATTTTTGAAAAGCATGAGCATGGTATATATTACTGTATCCATTGCTTTGTAACCTAAGGCACCTCATTTTGATGTGTTTGCGGAAAGCATATGAAATGGTACAAATAAAATTTCTAAAATTTCTGAGTGTCCTTAAGTAGAATTTTCAATTCAAAAATTCCTTATGTGGTCTTACTATTGTCTGTTAGCAATATTCCTATTTATAGTACTTCGCGGTTTTGCACAAGAAAGAAATAATGTTCAGCAAGGACAATGAAGCATTCTAATTGCAAAATAGTTTGGTTCTGGTCTGCTCCTGTCACTTTTTCCTCTACTAGCTTTACATTTATTGTTGCTAAAAGTGTCACATAAGCATTTCATTTGCTTCAATGTTATTAAAAATATTTGAAAACAATAAATATTTAGCAAATATATGCTGCCATCAGTCTCTCTTAATAAAAATATTATAGTATTGTGTTATGTTTCACAGCAGTCAAACTGAAGAATTTTAGTTTTAATAGAATTATTTAAATCAAACAAATTAATCATATAAAATTGTAGTACATTATTTAAATATAATAATATGATAATATTTTAAATTTATTTATCGACCTGTTTTTTTATAATGGTTTATAAGAATATATAATTCTTTTATTCGGCTTTAGGTCACTTTTTGTTAAAAAATTCAACGTTTATTCACTGCCATTTGAGATAAAAATGGGCACCCATCTCAAGTAATACGAGTAGTATTGGCAACTGTGAGCGCCGATGGACGCTCTCTAATCGTTTTCATCGAGCCTGATGTCAAAGTCAATACGCCAGATGTAAGTCAAATGGATTATATGTGTGTACTCTATAACGTGATGCTAAGAATTCAGTTTACATTTCTCTAAATTAGTGAACGGGTGGTGCGTTCTACTTTTGATAATGTTATTTTAGCTCCAAGGTAATAAATTCTTCGACCTGCTATATGAAGACCTGCTATATAGAAGACCTGCTACACCCTGCATCACAAAATAAATACAAATCATTAACCGCGCAACATTAATATATCCACACAATACAAAATTAAAGGAAAATTAATTAAGGAGAACACTTGAAAATATTATCTTGTAAAAATCAAAGTGCTAAAGACTTATTATTACAGAAATACACAAAGTACTAAACACAAATATATAAATATAAACCTAAAAACATACAAATATCAAAACATATGTGTTTATAATTATCTTTAAACATCTGTGTCAAAACAGTGAAGAAGTGAAAATTATTACAATTAGTGAAAATTATTAAAAATATTAAAATATTAAAATAATTATTAAAATATTATAAATTGAAAACAATATTGAAACTCTAAACAAAATGTTTGAACATCTAAGAATAACACTCCATAATATCAAAATATAGTGAATAACAGACAACAAAGTTATATACAATCATGTTATATACAATACACAATCATAAGTATGTATAAACAAATTCAATCTATTACAAATATGAATTCAATATATAAAATATAAAATATACAGATTGCTAGATTAATAAATGAATAGAGAAAGAATAATCATTTAGCATTCAACCAAAAAATATTATGATGTTATAAAATATTATGATATCAAAATAAAACAGAAAACTCTAAAGAAACTTGGAAAGGGTATCGAGAAATTGACATATCCACAATATCTAAGTTGATCAAATCAAAATATATATATTTTATATGGAAATGTAATTTTGTTAAACAAATAGCTCACTAAAAACTTCATTAAATATTATATGTGATAATAAATATAAAATCATATTATTGCTAGATTATTGCTAAGAAATTTGAAACTTGTGAAAATTTATTAAAAATTAATAAAAATTTTATATACTAAAAATTTATTAAACTCATCTCCAAAAATAACAACATCAATGTTATATATTTATAGATATTAAATAAAAAGTGAGTCATAGCATATAATATAAAATAAATTCTGAAAACATACTAAATTATATCACAAAAACTCTAGATATTGACCCAAATGGATTCATCACTAAGCAATACAACATTAATATCAATAGCCGACATGGCAGAACAAACTGAAACAAATCGCATCATCAAGTCAAAAACATCGCCTACATCCGAACCACCAGAAAATCATAATGACAAACCTGCTCAACCATCCGAAACACCAAAGCAAATAATAACCATAAGTAATATACATATGATTATATATCTATATAATAATAAATCAATATATCTTATTCACATCATATATCATATATTTATGAACAAATCATATTCTTATATCAATATTACAATTGTTAAATAATGATAAATTCCATAGTTTCTATTCAAAATGAACATATTAAAAATATACATAACATAAGATAATCTCATTATCATATACTCATAATCTAATATACATCATATATATAAGATAATCCAAATTATATATCAATATATCATATAAGTTCTTAAACCAAACATCTATAAATATATATCATATGGTTTCATATAAAATATGTCATAACCCATTAATATTAAAAATGTAAGCAATATGTAACTTATCCTACGTCAAAATTAAACTAATCCAAAAAAGCCAAATCAATATCCCTCGGTTAAATATCTAATTGTTATTAATTTTTAGATTCAGATTTATCAATGTTTCAGTTATTTGAAACAACTACATCTTCCTCACATCATCATACAGATATGGCTCACCATAATAGCACCCTAAATAAAAACAAATGTAGAAGACATAACCTGGAAAAACATCTGTACCCACCTCAACACTTAAAGGACCAATCTTACAACAACATTCCAAAGACATGTCGAAATCCACAAACATAGTAATTACAAAAACTAATACATTAAATATATTAAAAGATCCTATACCACAAACAAAACCAATACCCCAAACTAACATCCTAGAACCATATTTAGAACCATCTAAAAACCCTTTCAAGAACACATTATATGATACACTCATTCCAACAAATTAACAGAATATATACTATTATATCCAAAGTCAATATCAGGTGGCTTCACAAATTTAAGTACATATAACGTACCTGTAGAAGTTCAAATTCTGTTAAGTTTCGGACCGAACTACTGTCCAATAAAAATACCTGAAATAACCGATTATAACCAAGTAATAAGAAAATATAATGATGATTTTTTTATAATCTTTTATCAATTTAAGTATTTGTAACTCATTTGAAATGGAATTACATTATAATAAAGTATTAGACATAATAGAAGAAGAACAAAACTTATCTTCCGTCCAACAATCCTTAAAACAATTGTGTGAGTATGCTTCTGATTATTTGAAAATCCTAATCGCCTATTATATAAAATTAGCACGACCTTTATGTCAAGTATATACTAAGAACAATACCGTATTTCCAAGAGAATTATACAAAGAAATCAAGGACATGTTGCTTAATAAACCTTCTCTACCATATCTTTATGGTACAATAACAACTCATAAATATAATTCACCTATACGACCAATATGTAGTCTTATCGGGTGGTTTATATCACCCATACATAAATTAGTACACTACATATTAAAAACAACATTATCTGATCGCTTACCCTCTCATAATATATATAATATGAACCATCTTACATGTCATATTCTAGGATTACAACCAATACCTCTTTATGTTCTAGTATCCGTAGATATTAATGATATGTATCCTAATACACAAACATTCCCACTTATAAAAACACTACAGAACATAATGCAACTACCATGGTTTATAGAAAAATGTCCTATTCCAATCAATCTGTTAGATCAGTCCATAAATTTCATCCTCAAGCATGGTAACTATTTCACATTCGATGAGAAATGTTATCAACAAATTGAGAGACCTCCCCAAGGAGGTAGTGCATCCGGTTTATTAGCAACCATATACATAGATTCAAAAATAGAAATACATACAAAAACCTTAATTACATCTTTTCGCATTCATGCATGGTGGAAATATGTAGACGAATTATTAGTCTACATACCTCATTCAAATATAAAACCTTTCTGTGAAACATTCACAGAAATTCAAATTTCGTAGGTTATGCTCTAACATACGAGATGGAAACACCAAATCCATTATATAATAACCATCCATGTATCTCATACCTCGATTAAAACATCATTCATACCGCGGATTCATTTAAAATATCACTATATGGAAAACCACAACAATCACACGGGATGTCCCATTATTCATCTCATTTATCTGATCACATAAAAAAGCTACCGTTTTATATTATCTAAGGCATATAATATACAGGACAACCATAGAATATTTACTAAGTGATTTTTTTGATTGTATAAATCAACTATTATTGAACGGTTATCCACTAACAATGATAATTCATGAACTAAAAAGTCTAACAATAGGATATCCCTGTACATCATCCCCATATTTTTAATATCCAAATCTCACTCGCATACACATGTTAAATCAATATATTAAACCTTATGAAATACAAACCATAACATCATATCCACATCTATCAATCCTTATACCTATACCTAAACAATATAATGAAAGTGTAGTCTGTAGTTGTGAAGAAATATCATCATTCTTACGTCAATCTCTAAAGACTTTAAATGTAGGAAATCCAACCTTCTCTCGATCCAATACCATACCTTATTTTCGACATTACACATGTCACTACGTTCCATTCCTCCAAATAGAAACCTAACATCCAAACATAAAATATTACTAACAATAAACAAAGACTGTGGTTTAAGATTTTTATGCACAGGTAAAGGTATAACTCGCGAAATAATAGTATATGTACTTAATGATCTATCATCACCTCTGTATAGTCATTCAAACATAGAATATCAAATCCAATAGAAATACCATACACAACAAATATTACACTATCAGAACAATTATATTTATATAAAACAATATATATATCAGTGGGTATGGAGTGGGATCCAAAACAAGACTACAGTCTAATACCTCATTTCATAGCTCATAGTTTGGATGCATATATCCAACGTTTCACACCTACACGGTATAATATAACGTTTCACGGTATAACTCGCGAAATAATAGTATATGTACTTAAAGATCTATCATCACCTCTGTATATACACTATCAGAACAATTACAATTATATAAAACAATATATATATCAATGGGTATGGAGTGGGATCCAAAACAAAACTACAGTCTAATACCTCATTTCATAGCTCATAGTTTGGATGCATATTTCCAACGTTTCAAACCTGCATTACCTATACCTCATCGAAAAACACCAATAAGCAAAATCTTAACCATATCAAAATTAGATGATCGATAATTATAAGACCTAATAGCATATCTCATTTAAAACATAAGCATATATCTATACCAAATTTACACATTAATATAACAAAAGCACAAATCATTAGAAAACCAAATCATCAAATGTACAACTCAGATACAATTAATAACTGTCAATATTGAAAATTTAAACCAATAAATATATATTAAATGCATTATTATAAAAAATGTAGTATCAATATGTATAAAATATTTAATTGTATATAGAAATGTATAAGATATATAAATTGTATAGGATATATATGGTAAATAAATTAAATTTTAGAAATTGTAAATATCAAAATATTAAATTCAATATAAATAAAAATTTTCTGTAATATAAAAATAAAATGTAAATATAGATGTGTAAATTAAATACAAATATAAATACATAAGATATAATAAATATATAAGATATGTAAATATTCAAATATGTAAAAACATATATAAAAAAATGTTATTCATATATATTCTCAAATCAATAACCTATGTACAGATGTAAATTAATTAACAATCATATAATCACAACATAACAATATCTAATATATAAATAAATTAATATAGAATAACATTAAAATGTAAATACAAATATTAAGTCAATAAATCGAACAACTATATATCAGATTACCAAATTTTATTATTTCATTAAAATAGCAACTCAATAATACTTAAAAATTTAGATAATAAAATAACAATAAAATTACAATTGAAAATAAAATAAAATAAAAATAAAAATAATAATAAATAAATAAAAATAAAAATAAAATTAAAAAAATAAAAGAATAATATATTTATAAGCTACAAGAATCATCTATCATATAACTACCTATTCAAATATATATATGTGTATATATATAGACATACATAATATTAACAAAAACATACATATATATATACCACACATACATTAAAATATTAAATATGTCTTAAAATGCCAAAACCAAATAAAATAGATATAAAATAAAATAAAATATATACAAAATAAAATCACAAAAACAAATTACCTAGTCACAAGCTCATCATAATTAAATGCATAAAAATGTACCTCATTTCAAAATAATATCGAAATACCATGTAAAATATCAACACATAAAATGCCCAGAAAATAACAAAAATACCAAACAAAATAAATTTAAATTCATGGTTCAACCATTAATAAAAATCCATCCGTCAAGCATCACCAATCATTTTCAAGCACATTTCCATACATTATTCATCTAAAAATATAATCCATTTCAATATAACATATATCATATACCAAAAAGAACCATATATTCAGCTATATAATGACCAGCTATGTGCACAACTAAAATGTGTGGTTTCCACCATCATATTTAATAATTAATATTCATGCCGACATATGTTATACATACGTTGCACTAATTATATATAATATATAATTATATATAATAATATAAAATAAAAATAAAAATAAAAATATAAAAAATACAAAATATAAAATAAATAATTGAATCAAAATATATAAAATATATATAAAATATATAAAAAATATATGAATTATATAAAAAAATGTATAAAAATATGTAAACTTTAGTAATCAAACCTAGGTGCACATCACATCAATATACACAAAGACAAAATATACATATGTCAAATTCCATATTCACAATTAGAATATTATAAACATGGCACCAGTCACATAATCAAGTCAAAGTGTCATGAATAAACGGTGTCTACCGTTATCCTAGGCCAATCAAAATTAATCTACTGCCCCATCAGTAATACCACCATAATATTACATAATGGGTACTCTAACCTACCTCGACATATAATCTAGTTTCAATTACAATTTCAAAATTTAGTGATAAATGAAATACAACATCTCACAACATCTCACAATACATCACTTACACGTGTATGTCACAATATCATACATATGCAATACAGCATCATAGGTTGCAAATACCTCACAATCAACCTAACAATACCATAGTATTACTAGGTCTGCAGATCATCCAATGTCATATAGCACATGCTAGCATATGACACTGCACGAATCCGGAGAAAAGCATACTGACCTGAGTTAAACTACCCAGAACTGCATGGTGTAAATAATAAACATTAATAAAACTAGAATAATATGTAAAAAAACAAGAAAAACAATATAAAATATAAATTTAAAAAAATATAAATTTTAAAATATAAAAAAATTATATAAAATTATACAAAAATATATAAAACATATGCAAAATCAATAAAAAGTAAACCAACATATACATATATACATACATACATATGTATATACACATATGTATATATATATATATATATATATATATATACATCACCCCTACGGGATAGGGGTTAGAATATTCCCGAGGTAAGGCATGCCTGTCGTAAAAGGCGACTAAATTCCGGCAGGCGTCGAAGGGCGTGGTGTAAAAGATCACAATGACCCTGTGAAGCCCCTGTGACAAGACGAGTAGACGCCGTCTTTCAGTAAGCGTCCCCCACCCCGAAGTGGCATCGTGGGATCTAAATGTGCACAGCGACAGTTTCTTTATTGGGGGCGGCTAATGCACCATAAGGACCAGAGTCAACCCTCGTATGGCCTCCCTGTTTACATAGATAACCATAAGACTTACGGAAACTAACGGCTGCGAGTTGGGGCTCATATAAAATGATAAATATATATAATACAGAACATAAAAACGAAGAAGAAACAAATAACACAATAATGCACACAACACAAATGGAACCACCGAAGAGGAACTCCGGGAGCGAGAGGTCCCCTTCACAAACAGTAGCACCGAGCAGTTGTACGACAAAAGGGGCGCTAATAATGGCA